TTTTGAAATACATGGATGATCAATCTATATAACTGTCTATAACATTGATCCTATCAAATCAACAGGCCCACAGTGCTGCCATATTATTATAACCTGTCAGTGGCCTGTCATTTTAAACGGGTAGCCATTTTGTTTGGAATGCCTAATATAAAGTGATAATAAAATTATGTTTAAAAATTTTTGAAAAGTACTTGTTTATTACTTTATAGATGATGTAATATTATTTATTATGTACCACAACAATTCAATCAAAATGGTTAAATAAATTGTCAGATGTGACTGAAAATAAATTAAAGAAATGCTTTTTAAAGTGTATGGAAATGCTATTTAAAAAATAGGGTAATTTCTTTTTCGTTGATTTTAATTACACTTGGCAACACCGCAAATATTTGAATTGACAGATATAATTCTAAATTCTAATGAATAAGTTTACATAAATGATCAGTTAATGATCCTCGTAAGCCTTTAAATGCAATTTATTTTTATAAACGTTAAATTATGGGGTTTCCGGTGGTATATTTGAAAAATACGCTCCTTCCTAAAGCCTAAAATGTAAGTTTCGTAAAAAAATTTGTATTTTTAAGAAAAGGGCGTCTTCGCAATACGTGAGATGAGATTATAATCAAACATGTAAGTATTCGATTCATAAAAATACCTATTGGATTCTGTCAATTATTAATCTGGGTTTTGTTAAAAATTGAAATTCTTGATAACCATGCACATACATTACTTACACGAAAATTGAAAAAATGTTAGGTTAGAAACACCAAAATCTGAAGGTTAAAATTCAAATTTCTCTGTTATTTATGCGTAACCCGCAAATTTTTTTTTTGTTATTTCATATATACAGTTAGTACTATTTTTTAGTTAAAAAATTTTTTCGAAATTCGTGTGTCCGTTATGTTTACAGGCACCAATAAAAGTACCTTGCTTTTGGAATACAATTCATTTCTTCTTTGCTCCTCCTAAAAACATTTTATCTTGAAATTTTTTCACACATTCGGTTATTTATTTATTCATTTTAATTGAATTGCTGAAAACTGAATACTTTTCGATAGCTTTTTAAACTTATTTACTTTTTACCTATTTAAACTTTTTTGATTCAAGCAGAGATACAAATTGTTGATAGAAAACATTTTATTTATTTATTTGTCACTGTCAATCTCTGACAAATGTGTCAGTTATTTAGCCAAATACTACATCAACTAGAGGATAGCTGAAATCGGATAATTTCTGTGTCAACCGTGACGTCGTCCCTTGTCAGTGTAGTCATTGTATAAAGAACTAAATAGTAGTCTCACCTTATGGAAGTTTCATTGGAGCGAAATGGATACTACCAATAGATGGCGCTAGTGAATATGGATAAGTCGATATTCGTTTGCAGTGGGCGGAGTTGAGGGTCCAGCAGAAATTTTTAAGAATGACTGAGACCGATCGATAAATTTCTATTTTTAGCTCTTGGATGAAATTTTATACACTCGTGATTGAATGTTTGGACTATTTTCTATCTAATGTTTGTTATTGTGCGTTAGTGCGTTTGCGGGTAGTAGGTATTGTGAATGAGTTATGTTTGTGTTTCATTACTGAATTATTTTACTGTTAATAAAGGAAGAGTTCCCAAAAAAAAATTGTGTAGGTATTTATAACTGTTTTGAAATTAATAAAATAGAAAATATGCTTTTGTTTTTCGTTTCCTTCACAGGTTTTATCCGAATTAATTTAAAATAAATTATATAATAATAATAATAATAATAGCAATAATAATAGATTTCTTAAGTGTTGAAAAAATTGTATTTTTAATTTAAATACCTAAGTACTTAGCATAAGTAATTATAAACAACAGGTTATTTCTTTAATCTGGTGCGTAACAATGTAATAAAAAAAAAACCCTTAAGATGGTTGGTAAATAATATAAATGAATTCTTAATATTGAAGTAAACACAATGGGTTCTATAAGGATTATTGGTTGGGGTTCGGCTTTGGGGGATAGGGTCGAAATATTAAAACTAAACTTGGTATATGGATGTATTATCCCATAAAAATAAAAATCGCTTTAAAAATTCACCCCTCCCCACCGCTATCTGATATGGTGAGGGTGGCATTCCCAAAAAATTAAGTTAGAACTTTTTAAATAAAAAAGTTGAAGTCTACGATTTTTTATACAAAAAAACACAAAATTCCAATTTTTTTGAAAAAAATTTTCCAAATTTTTTTTGATCTTAGAAAAAATTTCGACTTTAAACTTCATAGTTCGGATGTGGGGGCTGGCATTTAAAAATAGTTACAAATAAATTAAAATCTTATTTTTGGCATATTTACAATAGAAATGATTTGCAACATTTTTGTATAAATATCTTACCACCACCATCTCCTAGAGGGAGATGGAGGGTGCGGCATCCCCAAAAAATCAAGTTAGAACTTAAAAAAAAACAGTTAAAATCTACAATTTTTTTATACATATAAACCAAAATTTCAATTTTTAAATCAAATTATTAAATTAAATTATTTTTTTAATTTCTTTATTATATTTAATATTATTTCTACTTTTTCTAACAATAATCAATTTAAGATATCTACTTTGATTGAGCCAAAATATTTAGTAGGGGAAGTTTTTAATATTATACAAACATACTGTGTGTCCAAAAAAATATATGAATTTGGCTAAACATTAACCTTTATTTCTAAAAACAGGCGGTATAGAAATACACTGTCAGGATAAAGAATCACTCCAAGCTCTCAAAACTGGTATAAACGATAAAATTGGGAACAAATACAAAGCTAGTGAACTTATAAAATATAACCCACGCCTGCTAATAAAGAATGCTCGTGTAGATGGATTAAATACTTCTGCTGAAATTATAAATAATATAATGTCACTTAATGATATTACTGAAGTCAATCAATCAGATATTAAAATAATTACAATGCTAAAACATTTCAATAGTACAAATGTCGTAATTGAAGTCTCCCTATTCTTAAGACGTATTCTCTTAGAGAGAAAATATATATTTCTAGGCTGGAAAAAATCTGAAGTATCTGATTACTTGAGAGTAATAAAATGCTATAAATGCTGTAATTATGGTCACCTTCAAACGAATTGCACAGAAAAGGATTTATGCTGCCCCAAGTGTTCAAACAAACATAGTCTTAAGGAATGTATTTCCAGTGATATAAACTGTATTAACTGTACTAAATTTAATAAGAATGCTAGGAACAAAGTGCCTACCAATCATACATCAAATGATTCAAATTGCCCAATTTTGCAAAATTATGTTTCTAGTTTAAAATCAAGAATTAATTATGGATAATAGAGTTTTTAAAAGGGATTTACTTAAATTCGGAAATTGTAATATTCGTTCTATTTTACCATCACTTTTAGATTTCTCAACATTTATTGTCCAAGAATCATTTGATGTAATGGCTGTCACTGAAACATGGCTATCGCCTGAAATAACATCTGACATTTTACATATATCGTCTTATAAATTTTTACGTGCCGATCGTAATAGACATGGCGGTAGTATTGGCGTATTCGTTAAAGACCACTTTCAAACGGAAGTCTTGGATTTAAATGTCAATTTTGATAATAAAATTTTAGAAATGCTTTGGGTTAAAATTAGTCTGGGAAATATGGCAATTGTTTTAGGCGTCGTTTATCGTATTCCTAACACCAGTGTTGAAAGAGCAATCGACTGTCTTGATAATATACTATCATTAATAGTTCCTGATTACGATAACATTATGATAGTTGGCGATATTAATGTAGATTTACTACAGATTGGCAATAAAATTAATAGATGTTTACAGTCTTATGCTTTTGAACAGGTAATTCAGGAACCAACGAGAGTAACCTCGCACTCTGCAACTCTCCTTGATCCTATCTTTCTTAATTTTGCAGCCCAATGTCATAAAGCTGGTGTTTACAATACTGATCTTTTTAGTGATCACAGCCTTTCTTATTGCGAAATTTCTTCTATGGTGCCAAAATTACCTCCAAAAATGATTACTTTTAGGGATTTTAGACATTTTGATTTAGATCTTTTTGATAACGACCTTCGTAATGTTCGCTGGTCTGACATTTTGTATATACGTAATATAGAAGAAAAAGTTCAATTTCTTAGAGAAAACATTTTAAATTTATTCGATATTCATGCACCGATAAAAACGGTTAAAGTTAGTAAACCTAAAGCTAAAAACAGTTGAGAATTGGGAACATTATAGAGAATTAAGAAACTATGCAAAAGCTTCGCTACGCAGAGAAAAAGCTGCTTATTTGCATTCTCTGTCAAAGCAAAAAAATACATCTACCTTTTATAAAGCTTTAAAAAATTTTAAAATACAATATACTAAACCTTCCAACATTCCAACACATTTGTCTGATCCCGATGATATAAATAGTCATTTTATATCAGTTTTTCAAAATGACGAAACTGCATGCTCAAGCAATATTGATTATTATCAACATAACAAACATAATTCAGGAAACACTTTTTCTTTTAGAATGACAGATACATCAACCATTTTAAAAATAATTCAAAAAATCAATAGCAATGCTAAAGGAGCAGATGGTATTACTTTACAAATGCTTAAACTATGTTTTCCAGTTATAGGTGACTACATCACTCATACTATTAACTGTTGTCTTGAGATAGGATTCTTTCCTAATTTTTGGAAAGAAGCTTTAGTGTCGCCACTTTCTAAAGTATCCAATCCTGAATCATGCAATGATCTACGTCCTATCAGCTTATTATGTATACTTTCAAAAATATTAGAAAAAGTTGTCTATCTTCAGTTAAATGATTACGTAAACAGTTCCAAATTGATAGTTGGTGATCAATCCGGATTCAGAAGTGGTCATAGTACAGTAACAGCCCTAACAAGAGTTTGTGATGACATTATCGGTTCATTTGATAAAAATATGTCCTGTATTAGTTCTTTAAGATTTTAGTAAAGCTTTTGATACGATTAATCACAAACTTCTTATATCTAAATGCAAATATCTTGGATTTGATAATATGGCTCTTAATTTCTTCAAATGCTACCTTACAGACCGAAAACAGAGAGTCGTTATTGGTGGTAAATGTTCCAAATTAAAATCTATTTGCTCTGGCGTCCCACAGGGCTCTGTGCTAGGACCCCTTCTCTTCCTATTATACACGTTTGATATGACTAAATATTTACAATTTTGCAAAAAACAGTTATTTGCAGACGACACTCAATTATATTTTCATTTTAATCCTTCCGAATATGAAATAGCTAATGTCCGCATAAATCAAGATTTGCATAAAATAAGCGAATATGTGAAAGGGCATGGTTTGAAATTAAATGCTAAAAAATCAAAATCTTTGTTGTTTTCTCCAAAAATATATAAGAATATGCTTAAATCGGACATGCAGATTAGGGTAAATGGTGAACAAATAAAATTTTCTCCTTGTGAAAAGAATTTGGGTTTGTATTTAGATGAAAATTTAAAATTTGTTGAACATGTTTCTCAAGTGTCAAAAAATTGTTATTTTCGTCTAAGACTCTTATATGCAAGTAAACAATATTTAACATGAAAAAAACCCTATGTGAAAGCTTGGTAATCTCTAAAATAACATACTGCATCTCTGTATACTATCCTTGTCTCGACAGGGCTACTGCAAACCGTTTACAAAAAATACAAAATTCGTGTTGTCGGCTTGTTTGTAACAAAAGAAAATATGACCACATATCACCTTACATTATTTCATTAAAATGGTTGAAAATGGATTATTTGTTCAAATTTCTTTTCTTATTATTTTTAAGCAATTTATTAAATGCTAATTCACCATTATATTTAAGAGAACGGATTACGTATTATAGGATTGACGCACATGCCTTAAATTTGCCATACTATCGCCATGCCACGACATAGAACTGCCATGTTTCAACGGTCATTTAGCTATAATGTCGCTAAAGTATACAATTCACTAAATACACACTTAAAATCATATTTGAGTACTAGTTCATTTAAAATAATGTTAAAATCATATTTTCTTGGTAGCCAAGCAAATGAAAATATTTAATTCATATTCTATTTTATTTATTTTATTTGTTTTATTTAATTGTTGTTCTTAATTTAAATTTGAATTCATCCGTAGACATTCAGCGTAATGTAGAGTAGGTTAGGTTTAAGTTAGTTTTAGGATTTGTGATATGGTTAAGTTGAATGGCCATTTGGCTAGACTACGCCATTTATACTTTGTAAATGTTGTTTTGCTGGTATAATAAAGACGTTTATTATTATTATTATTATTAACAATGTTACTTGAAAAATGTACCTAGAATTAATATTATCCACCATCAAATCCTGGACCTGGACACAATTTTTTTTTAGCAATACGGGAGAAGCGGAAGTGACATTTTTACAAATGAAATTAATTTCAACAAATTTATTTGAGATCATGTACAAGATTATTCACTATTAAAGACACCTTTTATAACCACTATTGCATATTCAAAAAAAGCTTTAAATAAAAGTTTGTGAATATGACTGACTTTTTTTAAATATACCATAAAAACACGTATTCAGATTTCACGGAATACAACACAAATAAACTTTTTTAAATGGGATACCCTCTATATGTTATTAAATTTCTGGGATATTTTTTTTCTAATTTCACAAATGTATATTATTGATAACCCTATCTTATACCGTCTGTTCTCGAGTAATTTAACGTTGATAATGTAAACATGAAAAAGTTAACATTATTAAAGTAAAAGCTATGAAAATCACAACTATTATGTTTGATAATAAAATAATCCAAATAGGTAGTTTACAGTGAGAAAGAAAAAGTGTAAATATTTATAAGATATTCGACATAGATTATCTATGATATTCGACGTTTAATTAATCAGGAAAGAATAAAGATCATTTCGAAAATTGAATAAAATATATATCTATGCTATCCTTATTAAAAAATATTCATATTAAATCCTGTGAAATATGCACACCACTAATATGGTCATTTGATGACATTTTTACAAAATTCGGTCAATGTAAACATTATACAATAATAATTATAGCACAAAGGGAGGGTAATTTATAATGAATAACCCTGTTAGGTACCATAAATTTTTAGTAAAAAATTTTAATTCGCACTTTTTTACGTAGATTAAAGAAAAATGTAATTTTGTGCGTTTTCTTGGTGCAGACATTTTGCGATACACTGTATATTCAAATCCAAAATGATGTATTTTCTTTTAACACATACCTAATATAAATTTATTAGCAAAATTTAAATACTTGTTATTTTCGGTATATTTCTCCTTTAGACACACACATTTTTAGTTTCATTGTCAAAAGATTTAAATAAAATTACCTGACCTTATAATATTCTATTATAATTTGATTATTAACGTAAAATTAATGTTTTGAAATTAATTTAAGTTTTACCAATTTAGAAAATAAAATTAAATAATAAAAAAAAAGTGTCCGCTCGGGGGCTTGAACTCGGAACCCTTCGATTCGTAGACAAGTACTCTAAATTTTTGTTATGAAGACTTAAGGCTGTATGTCACGATACCAAATTTAAGTACTAAATTTAGAACTAAATTAATGCATTTTTTAAGTACTAAAAAAATGTACGTTGCAAACAGCAAATTTAGTACTAAAAAAATCTGATGTGTCCAACACATGACTTTCCTATCTAGTTATATAAATGTTTAGAGGATAAACTAAATATATACATTGTCCACATACATCTACCTCGAAACATTTTTCTATAGATATTCATGGAAAACGAAAATACTGAAAAATTTTAATTTCCTACAATTTTTTCATTACGGTCCATTTTAGAAAAATCATGTATAAACAAAAATTATAGAGATCGATATCGCAAACAACTTTTATTTCAAAAACTTTCATAATAAAAATCAGAATTTTGCACATTTTGTCAAATTTCTCGAATACGGACCATTTCAGGAAATTTTTACATAAAACAAAAATTACAGATAATAATATTAGAAGTAACTTTTATTTGAACAATTTTCCTCTCCAAACATAAATAACAGATATATTCCATAAAATATAAAAACGGCCTCCCATAAAGTACCCCCCCAGATGTTCCGACTTTGTCCAAAATCTAATCGTTTCACGTCAGGCCGAAATAAACCTTAAGTTTAAAATTTAATGTTTTTTTCTTTATCTGTTTTTGAGTTTTTTTCAAAATTCGAAATTTACACATTTTCTCAAATATCTCGAATACGGTCCATTTTAGAGAAATTATGTAGAGAAATTATGTAGAGAATAAAAATTATAGAGAATTATATTACAAACAACTTTTATTTGAACAATTTTTATAAAAAAATATTTTTTTTACATTTTGTCAAATTTCTCGAATACGGACCATTTTAGGAAAATTTTGTATATAACAAAAATTATAGATAATAAAATAAGAAGTAACTTTCATTTGAAAAATTTTCTTCCCCAAACGTAAATAACAGATATATTCCATAAAATATAAAAATGACCACCTATAAAGTACCCCCCCAGATGGTCCGACTCTGCCCAAAATCTAATCAGCTCATTAGACGTTGGAACAAAGCTTAAGTTTGAAATTTGGTGTTTTTCCGTGTATCGGTTCATGAGTTATGCGTTATACAGACACACACACACACAGACACACAGACACACACACACACAGACATCATCGCGAAAATAGTCAAAACGGATTCAGGGGACCTCAAAACGTAAAAATCCGTCGAAAACTCGAGGTCGAAAAAAATCATGATTCCTATACTTTCCTTATATCTGTATACAGATAGGAAAGTAATATATCTGTATACAGATAGGAAAGTAAAAAGTCATTAATTAATTAGAACTTGTTCTATTTTCTACTAAATTTAGTACTAAAAGTGCGTCGAAATGTTGCGCAGAAGTTTTTCACAGAAAAAATTGACACGACGGTATTTTCTGTACCATTTTGTTTTTAATTAGCGAAAATTTTGCATTATCGACTTGAATAAAGTTCGCTTGTTTGATTTTGTAGATTTTATTGTTTTTTTCGTGGTTTATAGTAGCATTGCTGTATTAGGCATTCCAAACTGAATGCCTACCAGTGGGCTTTGACGGGTTATGATATTGCAAAATTATGGCAACCCTGTAGACCTGGTGATTTGACAAGGTCAATGGAATAGATAGTTACATAGATTGATTATCCATATTTTTCAAAATAAACATAAGCGTATGCCTTGAAGTAATAATGTAAGCAATTATTTTTTTTAAATATCTAAAGGCTAAAAATTGGTTTTAAAACACATTTTTGCTAAACCGATTCAAATTAATAAATATTTGCCAGGCAATATGGCCGCTCGTGAACGACCAGCTTTGAGCAATCTATATAACTATATATGTATCATTCAACAGGGTTGCCATATCTAAACTGTCATTACCCACTGGTAGCCATTTGGACAGGTCGTTGGAATGCCTAATTTGGTTGTTGTCATGTCAAATTGATAATAAAAACACCATTTACTTCACTTGTCTATTTTACCAGGAATATTTCATTTCTCCACTTATTTCACGTATTAATACGTCAATGCGCGTGCGCCTATAGTTAATTTAGTACTAAAAATTGGTATCGTTGCAAACGGAAAAAAATATTTTTAGTTCTAAATTTAGTACTAAATTAATGATTTAATTTAGTGCTAAGTTTAGTACTTAATTTAGTATCGTGACATACAGCCTTTATGAAAAAGTTTTACTTTTTAACGCTGATAATCAGACTACTTTTAGTTTCATTAAAATCTCAGTTTATTTCTAAATATAGACGAATATCTTGTGGAATGCTATTATTTATTGATTCTTTACAAGAATCACTTATTTTTATTTATATTTAATCTAAATAACTAAAAAAATACATACTGACAATTAATTTTACGGAATTGTCACTTATAAAGTTCTAACATCTGACGTAGAGGGCGTATCTAACCAGTAAATAAAATCGTTAGTTCAATGATTGTACCAATAGATGGCGGGCGCGATTGCCTCCAATAACTTTTACATGGCGATTATCCTACTATAGTTCTTTATACAATGGTGTAGTGGAGCGTCTGATCATTTGAGTTTTGAGTCATGCCAGGTTTGTACTAAGGTTTTTACTAATTCAATAAAAAATATAAATACTTTTTAATAAGAGGAATAAATATTAAAAACCAGGTTGTGTATGTAGTTGTGACAAATAAAAATACAGTAGCGACAGCTTGGGCCAGTTCCTTTAACATCGGAGTGGTCAGATTTTTGTCGACAGTTGAGAAAAGTAATTTTGAAATATTTTGTTCCTTTGTCTATTTGAATAAAATATCACACAATAAATAATAATGTATTAAAATGTGAATTACAAACAATCAAATAATCAGAACAATTAACGACCATTAATCCATTGACCATTAATATATGCCAGTTTGACATATTTGCTGCTTATTTACGGACATGCGCAGAAAAATATGGAAGCCTCATAAATAATAAACTGTTGCTACTCTATTATTACTTATACTGGAGTTGTAATCATTTAAGCAGAGCAAGGAACATTGTTCGGCGGAGTGTTTGGCATTGACGTTTCTGGGCGACTTACACCTTAGATAATATATAGTACAGATATGCTACCCCTGTATAAATCTATACAATGTTGATGTCGCTCTAATAAAGTCATTGTTTCT